GAGACACTCATTCTTGTCACCCAGGCTGGAGTACAGAGGTGTGATCTTGGGTCACTGTAACCTCCCCCTCCCTGGTTCAAGCGATCCTCGTGCCTCAGCCACCCAAGTAGCTGGGATTACAGGTGCACGCCAGCACGCCTGGCTAATTTTTGTATTTTTAGTAGAGATGGGGTTTCACCATGTTGGACAGGCTGGTCTTGAACTCCTGGCCTCAAGCGATCTGCCTGCCTCGGCCTCCCAGAGTGCTGGGATTACAGGTGTGAGCCACTAATAATGACAGCCAGGCTGGGTGTGGTATGACTTTGGACAAAATAGCAGAAATTTATGTCTTCTTTCTAAACCTCATCAGTTTTTCCTACCTGTAAAATGTGAGAGCAAAGGGCAGGGAACAGGTAATTTCTTAGATCCATTATTGCTGATTGCTGTAAGTGTACTTCTTCCTCTGTTGCATCCCTCCCTTCTCTGTTGGGCCTGGGATAGTCTTGCCTTTCTGAACTGCCCACTCCTCCCTGACCTCTCTGGCAACTTCAAGGTCCGAGGTCCATGGGTTGCTTTTTCTTAACAACCCATGAAATAATTTTATTAACACTACCATAGCCCACCTTGTTAATTTCCTAGTAACAAGTCCCTGAAGCATCTATGTTATTTCCACTTTTAGAAGGTCACAGATTCCTGAGTTAAATATGCTGTGGATATATGGAGTTTTTGTTGTTGTTGTTTTTATCTTTTCGAGATGGAGTCTTACTCTGTCACCCACCCTGGAGTGCAGTAGCACCATCTCAGCTCACTGCAACCTTCACCCCCAGGTTCAAGCAATCCTCCCACCTCATCCTCCCAAGTAGCTGAGATTACAGGCATGCTTCACCACACTTGGCTAATTTTTTGAATTTTTAGCAGAGATGGGGTTTTACTATGTTAGGCTGGCCTTGAACTCCTTACCTCAAATGATCCGCCTGCCTTAGCCTCCCAAAGTGCTGGGATTACAGGTGTGAGCCACTGTGCCCAGCCTGTTGTTGTTGTTTTTAAAGTAAAGGAATAAAAGAATGGCTACTCCACAGATAGAGCAGTCCTGGTTTTTTTTTTTTTTTTTTTCTTTAGTGATAGTGGTATCACTGCCTATGATTATAGTAAAGCATGATATGAAAGTGACTTCCTATCTGAGGGCACTGCTCCTTCAAGGATTTGGGAGGCTAGGAAAGCTGTTGGTCCACATTCGGGATCAGAGTGAAAATGCAAATATGGAGGCAAGAGCCAACTCCATAACCTTTCTTCCTTGACCCTCCAGCCTCCTTTTCCCCTTTCCAGGTTTACTCTTAGATTTCTCTTTCTCTCTTTTTCACTCTCTTTCCCCTGTGGAGGATCCCCCTTTTGGTCCTTTCTAGTTCTCTTCTTGATTCATCACTTCCTCCTTTACCTTTCATGAAAAAGCTCATTCTCATTTTTTTT